AATATTCCTGGCACTATTGTTAAAAGGCTAATTTAAAGAAATGTACTATCCTATTCAGCTAAGGAATTTTATACACGAGGATGTCTTCATTTTTATTATAATGTTCATGTTTTGAAAAAAAACAGCTTACACAGATAACTTAGGATATAAGAGAATATTTTTTTATATATGTTACTGCAGTTAATATTTAGGATTTCAAATTCTGAATTTAGCATTATTTTTTTAAAAAAAATTAACTGACAGCCAACAAATCTTAATCTGAATTTTAAGATTTAAAATGATAATTAAAATATTGTTATACCAGGTTTCATGATAATTCAATTTTATGCCATTACTTAAGGGTGACTCTATATTGTCTTAATTTTCATATCTTTGAGGAATATACATTTTTGATCAAGAGGCAAAAAGGATAACTCCATGCATTACAAATATTATTTTGGTTCATATGCCTTTCTTGAAGCATTAAGCTCTCTATAGAATCCTTAAAATAAAAATAACTTCCCTTAGTTTTTAATAAAAATATCTATTCCATACAACTCTAAATGATTGCTAAGGCTACCCATCACTATATTGCAGTACATTGAATGCTACAGATAATTAGATGTTTGGCACTGATTTTTCTTCTTTCTACATCTCTTTAATCCCTTTATTCGGGGTAGAGTTGGGGCGACTGAATGGAGCTGAGTGTTTACTGGCTGGATGCCCTTTCTGACATCTACATGGACTTTTCACTCTGCATTCAGATGGAGAAACATTTGCCCCTGACAAGGAATGCACTCTCAACCCTCCGAGTGGGAGGTGACTGCTCTTATCTGATATTGATTAATTATGTACAATCAAGTCAGTATCAATTCTTAGTAATTATATAGATTTTCTCCAGGATGATCTTTCACCAACTTGACCCTTCGGTTTCAAATAGTGTACTCATCACTACTGTAACTGAATTGCTTAGCCTTGCTATTGTTTGTCCTTTTCTGTTTCTTACGATTTCTCCCAGCATATAGATTTCCCAACAGAACTAGGTATTCCCATAAGGTATCCAAAATATGCTAATTTTAGCCTTATCGTTTGTACCTTGAATAAGAATTCTGGATTGACTTGTTCTACTGCATCCAGTTTTGGTCACCACGATGTAAAAAAGATGCTGAAACTCTAGAAAGAGTACAGAGAAGAGCAACAAAGATGATTAGGGGACTGGAGGCTAAAACATATAAAAGAAACGGTTGCTGGAATTGGGTATGTCTAGTTTAATGAAGAGAAGGACGAGGGGGGACATGATAGCAGTGTTCCAATATCTCAGGGGCTGCCACAAAGAAGAGGGGGTCAAGCTATTCTCCAAAGCACCTGAAGGCAGGACAAGAAGCAACGGATGGAAACTAATCAAGGAGAGAAGCAACCTAGAACTAAGGAGAAACTTCCTGGCAGTTAGAACAATTAACCAGTGGAACAACCTGCCTCCAGAAGCGGTGAATGCTCCAACACTGGAAGTTTTTAAGAAGAGACTGGACAGCCATTTGTCCAAAATGGTGTAGGGTTTCCTGCCTGAGCAGGGGGTTGGACTAGATGACATCCAAGGTTCCTTCCAACATTATTATTATTATTATTATTATTATTATTATTATTATTATTATTATTATTATTATTATTACTACTACTATTACTACTACTACTACTACTACTATTATTATTATTATTATTATTATTATTATTATTATTATTATTATTATTATCCAATTGTTTGGCTATCCATGGTATTCTTAAGAATGTTCTTCAAACCTAGCATTCAAAAGCACCAACACTTTCTATCCTTCAACTTTCCAACTTTCAGTTCTCCTGAGTGTCAGAGTTGAAACTATTGCCTGATGTATTCCACAGGTATAGATACAAGATGATATTTGAATACATTTCTTAAAGTCTTTATTGGTACCCTACAATATATGCACATACACTAGTATGTTGCAAATTTCTTGATTACAGGTTCCTTCTGGTGGTTGATCAAAAAGCAGAAGCTATCTACAATTTAAATATATTCCTTCCTTACAACCCTGTCAGTTCTAAGGTTCACTGCTGGGCCTATTATGACGACTTTGGTCTACTTTGCATTTAATCTTGTGTCTCCTGTTTTCATTCTGCTGCTTAACTTTTATTATTAAAGCTCCAAATCGTTTGTATTTTCATCCATAAGAGTAGTATCATGACTATTATATAGGTAGTCCCTGACTTAGGACCGTAATTTATTAAAGAGCAGTTTAGGTGACCCTACAACAATGTATCCAAAACCTGATGACTAAGTACAAAGAGTCAGAATTAATTCTCTTATGTAGAGTTAGACCACTGTAATTTAGTGGGGTTTCACAGAGTTTGGTTTTAGTTCTAGCTCTGGGGCCAGTATTTTTCAACAATTTTATTAATGACTTAGATGATGATAGGGATGAACAACGTATCAAATTTAAGTTTAACAGTAAATTGAGAGATCTGGCCAACATGCAGCATGACAGGAGATTTTAGACTGATCTGGAGAAGTTGGCAGACTCGACTTAGAGGAACAGGATGTCTTTAACTAGGGAGATAAGTAAAGTATTACATTTAAAGAGAGAAAAAATGTAGGACACGTGTACAAAATGGAGAATTCATGACTTAGAAATACTGAGAAGGATTTGGATGTGGGTCACTGATAATAATCTGAACATGAAAGAGTAACACAATACTGGGCTGCATTAGAAACAGTATATGAAGGCAATATGAAATTATCATTCTTTACTACCTGGCATTGGTGATTCTAGGCATCACATTTACAGAAAGATATTGGCAGCTTTGAGAAGGTTCAGAAAATGACAACAAACATGTTTCAGAGACTTCAGGATGTCCCCTACAAGGTAATAGATTAAAGGAGTTTACAATGTTTAGTTTGGAAATAGCCATGCTCAGGTATATAAAGGGAAACCACAGGGAAAATGATCAAAAACTACTTTCCATAGAAGCTAGAAGCAGAAATAGATAACATAAGTTATTCCCTAAATTTCAGCTTAATAAAAAAGTCTTCCTGACAGATCTATACAATAGTGGAAGAGTCTATCTGTGGATTTTTCACTTCTGGAATAGATAGATAGCCCTTATGGAAAATTGGTTCCAAGGATTGAACTAGATCAGGGGTGTCAAACTGCTGCCCACGGGCCGGTTGCATCATGCAGAGACTGTGCCCACTCCAGCTCTGGCAATGTGAAAAAAATCACGATACGTCGTGACATGTCATGTGATGCAGTGAGTTTGACACACGTGAACTACTAGATGATCTTGTGGCCCCTTCCAACCCTATAGTTGTATGATTCTTTAGAAAAAGTTTATATCCTTTAAATAAAACTTTAATTCATTATTTAAAAAATGCCATTCACCACAGATCCCCTTTAAAAACCTTCTGTGGCCTACCACGGCTATGGATCCCCAGGACTCAAGATTTAAATTATAACATTTCTTTAAATCAAAACATTTCTTCAAGCCTTCATGGACCTCCTGTGATGACATCGTGCCCTCCCAGGGGTCCATGGACCACAGATTGAGAACTACTGCTTTAAAGGACTGGAAGATATTTAGTTGTCATTTTGTCTATATACTGTACATTGGTATAATTTGATTTCAAAAACAGTGGCTTGTTCTCAGAAAATGTAAACGCTAATCATTTAACAGGGCTGGTAATAACACAGCCAATGAAGAAGTAATTTCACTGCATTTAAAGCAAAATATTGTCATACCCTTTACTTCATATACAAAAGACAGGGCAATATGGAGGCAAACATAATGCAGAGAGACATAAATAAGCTCTGTAATACTAATTGGACACAATGCTGCAATCTGCTAAGTTGATTAACACCCCGTTCTCAGGCTGAAAAATGCAGTGGCAGAATTAGGCATCTGAATATGTATGGCTTCTATAATTACAACTCTCTTTAAAATCTATTCACTTGATGAAATTGTGTTTCACATTACTGTGATAACTCTGCATGCCTTGGAAAATAGTTATATAAAATGAATGTACAGAGAAGGCATCCTACAAATCAATCTATCTATACATAACCCTAAATTCACTTTTTCAAAAAATAGCAATCTGGACACACTATCAGGTTTATTTTGGAATTTGATTTGATGTCTTGGAGAAAAGAGCTTGATTTACTTTGGGCTAGATTAGTAGATCATCAACCCACAACCTCAAATAACCCTTCAGGGTGTAGTGATAAAAAAGCAAACTAAAATGAAAGTCCAGGGCCATAAATTACATAATAATCAGGGTTTGCTAGAATTGAAAGAGGTGCCTCACAAACTGTATACAAATACTTGTATACAGTATACAAACTGTACACATATATAAAATACTTTTTTTAATTATTACAACAATCACTTTGTTTGCAAAGCTCACTTTGTTATTTCACACGCAAATACAGTCAGGGACAGTTATCAAAGAAGTCACAAAAGTCTTGCAAACTGTCTTATTTGCTTTAAGGATTCAAAGACAATTGTTTCCAAATCAAAGTCCCATGCTCAGCAAAGCATTACTTTCAAATGCTTTGTACAATAGGTTATTTACTAAAGTCATACCTATCTGTATTACAGAATACAAACCTGTTTGTATTATTATATATTATTGTAAGCTGCCATAAGTCAATTATGATTTTGCTGAATATAAGCCTGATGGATGGATGGATGGATGGATGGATGGATGGATGGAGAATATACCCCCCCTTCCCAACACACAGAATTCTTAGTAGAAGCAATAATAAAAATTTTCCAAGGCAAATACAAAGAATGCAACATGAATGACAGCACGGTCCTTGTTTATATTGGAAGTAATTGAATCCTTTCAGAGCATAAAATACAGTGCTTGCTGTTGTTGAAAAAAAAAAAAACCAAGGACAGATTGAACCATTAGATAATTCATTTTTGTTTTTGATAAAATTTGTGTTTGTGTGCTGTTACAATCAATAACTGCAAAACACAATCCCACTCACCTTATATATAGCAGGAACAATTTGGTGCATTTTTAGCCTATGAAATACAAACACATCATAAACTGCTGACACGGCCAGCACGGTCACTCCTTGTTCCTTCCATAACATGCTGCAAGTGGCACACAGACCGGCACCCAAGATCCAGCCCCAGGTTCCTTCTGAGTAGTTTCTTGTACAGCAGTGTTTAATATAACAGACTAGGGAGAGCAGAAAGAAAAGGCAAGCTCCAATATCAGCTCTTCCTACAATTCCTGCCACTGCTTCAGTGTGAATGGGATGAGAAGCAAACAGCAAACCAGCTAATAAGGTCCAGTGTCCATCACCAAATAGCACTCGAGAAAAATTAGTGAAAAGACCCGTGACTGCTGCATGTAGAAGGACATTTACAAGATGGTAACTCCAAGGATCCATTCCTCCAATAGCATAGTTAATGCGAAAAGAGAGCGTGCAGAGAGGTCTGTAGGATTTATGGCTTCCGCTGTGGGTCAGAAGAGTGCCCCAAAAGTCATTATAGAATAACTGCGTCCATGGTGTTTCAGGAAGGAGATCTTGGTTTGTCTTGATTGCTCGGCTAAAAAACAAAACAAATACAAAAATAATCAAACTACATGACAACAATAAATAGGATTGCTAAAGAATATAACTGAAATTAACAAATTTCTGTTTTCCATTTCAATATGAAATTAGCATAAAAAGGTACATTATCAAATGTAGTATTACTTCCCCCATTTTAAACTCCATACAAGTAGTGATAAGAGTGCTGCTTCTGCTAACTTTTCACTTCAATAAATTTCCTCATCAATTGGCTTTTCAGACCTTGGAAACATAGGATACATTAACTTAAAACAATTCATTCATCTGAGCCTAATCCAGAAGCAATTACTGATAAATTATAATTATGATGTAAAAGAAATATAATTAACTGAAAAAATGTGGCTAAAATTTAAAGATAAAAGTCCTCCCAAAAAAGAGAAAGCTATTTAATACGAATAATTTAGGTAGCCAAAAGTTTATAGATTTGAAGGTCTATACTTTGGTTCCACACAAAGTACATATATAATTTGCCTTTGGTATCCATATATTTTAGGCAACTGATTGTCTCCTATTCTTCTCTTTAAAGCTTTCTATAAACTGAAAACGATTACCCCTGAGGGTCAGAAACCTTGAAGTTGCTGATGGAGTGATTTCTATTACTGGAAACATCCCTCTGGATTTTCCTCTCAATTTATAGTAAAACCATACTGAATAATTTCAGATTAAATTGAAGAATAAGTTCTACTTTTTTTAAGTTTTGACCATTTGATTGAGCATGAAAGAAACATGCTCTTATTATAAATTGATAAATATTTCACACATATATATATACTTTTTAAAGCTGAATTAAGAATCCTCTACCCTCTAAATTTATTTATAAGTCTATTATATTTCTTCATTTTCTGAGTCTTAAGAGGTACATGTTTAATAAAAATGTGATAAAATACTATATACAAATACTGAATGATGAAGATACAACAATGCATCATAATACAATATTCATATTTCATAATACAATATTCATGGCATGGACAGTTCACTCAATAAAACAAATCATTAAAAGCTTTCCATAACAGACAGGTCTTGATGTACTCCAAAAAGTCATGACAGCCATAATAGGAAGGACTGTTCTCTACAAATATTGTCTATTTCCAAGCCCCTCTGACCAAATGTCCAGATATGGGAGGGAATTTACAGCAGCACTTTTGATTTACATTTGTTCGGCACGTTGATTTTACTTGGGATACAGGCTCTCACACTTGCCCAGTTCCCAACCCCATTAGATTTTTTAAAGTAACAATACCTTGAATTAGATATAATACACGACAATATAGTATTTGGCCTCTACGCATACATGCATTTGGCATCAGTTGAAGTGTTCAAGTGATCGAGTTTACGTATTATCCTGTTTTAGGAAAAGCCAAGTAGCCTGCTTCTTCTAGAGTTCTTAAAGAGGTGAACCTCTGAGGAGATTATGTACGGCAAGAATCCATCCTTTCATCCCCTATCTTGCAGTGGCCAGATGCAGCAGGTGTCAAGTGGTGGTATCACAAAATGTCAACTCTAACAAATGACTGCACTATGACTATTTCCAATCTCTCTTCCTCTACCATCACTTACTTTTCTATTTCCACCATATTTTCCTTTTTTGACTTACCCATAGGCCTCCATTTGAGAGAGTATCTCTGGCCCAAAGTCATCCAGCCGGCTTCATGCCTACAGTGGGACTAAAGGCATGGTCTGCTGTTTTCCAGTCTGGTGCTAAAACTACTACATCAAATTGGCCCTCACAATAAGTTATTGAAATAAAAAACAAGGGTGGTTTGGTTGCTTATAAACTGACAGTTTCTTACTGGAATGGATTAGTGATACAGATAGTCCTCAATTTACGACCACAATTGAGCCCAAATTTTCTGTTGCTAAGTGAGACTTTTGTTAAGTGAATTTTGCCCCATTTATGATCTTTCTTGCCATAGTTGTTAAGTGAATCATTGGACTTGTTAAGTTGGTAACACAGATGTTAAGTGAATCTGGCTTCCCCATTCACTTTGCTTGTCAGGGAGATCACAAAAGGTGATCACATGACTCTGGGTTACTGCAACCATCATAAATACATGCTAGTTGCTAAGCGTCTGAATTTTGATCATGTGATCACAGGGATGCTGCAATGGTTGTAAGTGTGAAAAATGGTCATAAGTCACTTTTTTCAGTGCCACTGTAACTTCAAGCGGTCACTAAACAAACTGTTGTAAGTTGAGGACTACCTATATTAAGCTGAATCTTCTAACGAAGCAGGTCACTGATGTACTAATTTTGTTCCCTGTAAATCTTATTTTCTTCAGCAAAAGTGTTCAAAGAAAATAATATCTGAAACTATTTGCAAATATGGTAAATGAAGAAAGCTGAACAAATATTTTTTCTTATTAAATGCTTATTTGGGACTTTAAAAAATAAAGCATAAAAGAGAAAATAAGAAAGTTGCAATTCTAAACAAATTCTAGCTTCATATCTAAAATATTGACCTATTTATCTTTTGGAGTTTCTGAAGATCTGCCAATCTGTTTTTCAGAGCAGTTATCACTGAAAAACTAAAGATTCAGTACTGGTATCTCAGTGGTGGTATTATTAGGTATGTTGGCACCTTATTATTTTCATGTGTAATTAATATTTTCTGAAATAAAAATGCATTAACAAACTAAATAATGAAGTTTTGTTAAGTACTTTACAGTATTTTTTGTCCAGATCAAAAACAATGTTAAAAGTAATTTTATTAACATTTTGACAAGGGCTGTAGAAGCATTTCTGCATAATATTCCAGGTAGTTAATGTTTTCTGAAAGACATTTTTGACTGAAGAGACAAACTACTACCAGGTTATTGTTCTCATTAAGTTCTCTAACAAAAAAAATGTCTGCTATAGTCATTTTGCTTATTAATCCAGAGTCACTAATGGGTATAATAAAAGAAATTATCCATGGGCTGTTTAGTAAAAGAATTTAATCTCTGCTCCCTCTGAAAGGTAAAGTGTTATAAGGAAAGTCATTTGTCAAAATTCCAGCAAGATTTGCACTTTTTATTTTTTGTTAGGCAAAGACAGTGTTTGCTGGCTCTATAGGAAAGTCTACCTTTCAAGTTTTAATCTCTTCATTTTACATATTCCAGGAGGACAGTATGCCTTATTCATGATATTGCTAATGGATTATATAGGGTTGTGGGAAATCAGTTATCGTTGTTTTAAATAACTGAACAGTTCTGGGGTTTTTTCAAGGAAAACAAAAAGAAAACCATTTATTCATTTCTAAGAATATTGTCATAAAAAACAGAAATAGAAATGATTTCACAAAGTCTACCAATGGATTCAGATTGAAACAGCTGGCTGTCTAGAGATAGCAGATGACGATAATCATTTCAACTAGAGATCAAAATATATCATAAAGATGATTTTTTAAAAGTTTATTATCTATTGATGACTAGAAGCCTATAATGGACTTTTGTATAAAAATGGGGGGGGGGGAATGAACGTGATTTATGATTTTGATGATTAGACGGGATAGATTATAAAGAGGTATCATGATGTAACTTTAGACTGAGAGTTAAAATATACTGTATTTGTATTTATAATTGCTATGAAGAATATTAAAATCCACTTTATATCTTTTTCTTTGTTTTCCATTTTTCTTGAACTTTTAGCTTTTTATTTGACTTATTTTTTCTTTCTTATATATTGGTTGTGTTAATTTATCTTCTTATTTAATAGTTTTAATAAAAAAAATAAAAAGTATTTATAAGTTCACATGGAATACTGCACTAGTATTCATATGTTCTATAACCGTGGTGGCAAACCTATGGCACGTGTGCCAGAGGCGGCACGCAGAGCCGTCTCTGTTGGCACATGTGCCATTGCTGGGCCAAGCTGCTTCCCTTCTCCTCTCCGCATATGCACAATTTTGGGCTGCAGACAGCAAGTAAGCACAAGCTGAAGCAGCACTTGGTGCAGACAGCAAGTGAGCAAGCATGAGCCATGGTACGTTTCAGTGGCCGGCCACGCAGGGGAGGAGGAGGAAGGGCAGCCTGGTGTCTGAAACTGCCTTGCCTCGGCCTCATGGGGCAAAGGCAGCAATGGTGGTGGCGGCAAAAGGCATGGAGGGGGAGGGTGGCCTGCCTGGTGTTTGAAGCTGCCTTGCCTCAGCCTCATGGGGTGAAGGCAGCAATGGCGGCAGCGAGGAAAGGCACAGAGGGCGGCCTGCCTGGTGTCTGAAGCTGCCTTGCCTCGGCCTCATGGGGTGAAGGCAGCAATGGCGGCAGCAGCAAAAGGCATGGAGGGCGGGGGGCCGGCCTACCCGGTGTCTGAAGCTGCCTTGCCTTGGCCTCGTGGGGTGAAGGCAGCAAGGGCAGCAGCGAAAGGCGCGGAGTGCGGAGTGCAGCCTGCCAGGTGTCTGAAGCTGCCTTGCCTCGGCCTCATGGGGTGAAGGCAGGAATGGCGACAGCAGCAAAAGGCATGGAGGGGGAGGGTGGCCTGCCTGGTGGCTGAAGCTGCCTTGCCTCGGCCTCATGGGGTGAAGGCAGCAAAAGACGTCGGCAGCAAAAGGCGTGGGGGGCAGCCTGCCTGGTGTCTGAAGCTGCCTCAGCTGCCCGCTGGCCTCAGCAGGCCCCAACAAGGTAGCATTCACTCACCAGCTGCCCAGCCTCATGGGACGGTGGCAATGGTGGCGAAGAAAGGCATGTGGGGGGGCAGCCTGGTGTTTGAAGCTGCCTCGGCTGGTTGCTTGGCCTCAGCAGGACCCAACAAGGCAGCATTCATTCACTGAGGCAGCATTCACACTCACCGGCTGCCCAGCCTCATGGCAGCAGCGAGGGATGGGCGTGCGCCACAGTGTGAAAAATGGTCTTAAGTTACTTTTTTAAGTGCCGTTGTCACTTCAAACAGTCACTAAGCAAACTGTTGTAAGGTGAGGACTACTGTACTTTTATCACTTTTTTTCCTTTTTTTGGGGGGGGTCATCAAGTTTACATCAAGTTTTTGACACCTTGCTAGGTGACTGGAAAAGCTCTGTTAGAGTACCCGGATTGCAGCTGCTTTCTTGCAGGTATGTGGAATGGTGTGGGACCCACAGAGTTTGCAAAGTTAAGTGAGGAAGTTGGTTACAGCTTTTTAGGAAAGATAAAATAGGCAACCAAGAATGCTTTATTGACCATTCTTTGTCCAGATTTTATATCAATTGCATCTGCTAATACAGGCGTTCTGCTTCAGATTTCTCTGTTATTTTCAGTATCTGGTAAAATGAATGAGTACTTTTCCAACAACCTGTAAAATCCAAGACACTGCTTTCATTGTTTAATTCCCCCCTCCTAGATTGTTGATTCAGGGAATATCCATTTCTTTGGTGTTAACTAATAGTGTTAGTTATTTAGGGATAGATTTGTATTGGTTGCTTCATTTTTTTTAAATTTTGTGTTTTTGTAGACTCCAAGTCTTGTACACCCATTCAAAAATGACTACAGCAAAAACAGATAGTGGAAGATCATTCCAAGAGGCCTGGACAGAGTCATTTGGAGTGATTGAATTCAGTGGGAAAGCGTGATGTGTTCTATGCAACAAAAGTGTTGTGTGTCGCACATCAAGTGTCAGACGGCACTTTGAAACCAACCATAAAATGTTGCCCAACTTGGTGATACTGAAAAAAAAGAGTTTCTTGGAGGGAAATTGAGGAACTATCATTCCCAGCATCTTTGTTTTTCCAATTATCTTTCCAGAACAAATCATCTGACAGCTGCCAGTTTTAAAATTTCACTGTGCATAGCAAAACATGGTAAGCCCCTCTCTGATGGGGATATTATCAAAACAGCCATGTTGTCTGGGAGTGATTCTCTTTTTCATGATTTCCCAAACAAGGATAAAATTATTCAATGCATCTCTGAGATACCACTTAGCAGAAATACTGTGAAAGATCGAGTCCAGCGCATAGCAAGTGATGTTAGTCAGCAGCTCACCACTGACTTACAAAAGGCAGCCTGTTACTCCATGTGCTTGGACGAAAGCAAAGCTATAAATAATCATGCAAGGCTAGTAGTAATTTTGCGTTATGCTGTTGGTGACATCATGAGAGAAGAACTGGTGAAACTGATGTCTTTGCCTGAAAGAACACAAGGTGTAGATATCTACAATGCTGTGAAGGAAGCTTTTTTGTCAGAAGACATAAGACCAGAAAAGGTGGCTTTCATTGTCATGAGCATTTCTGGTGAGGATTGGCAGGGGAGGCTGTTTGGTTTTTATTCCCCTCCCATCTGCTGGGTGGTTGCAGCAGGTTTTGCTCTCTTCTGTCGGGCTTTGAGGTTCCCCATGAAGCACGTTTGTTTTGGGGGGGATCCCCACTCCGGTTGCTAAGCTTGCTTAAACCCTCTTCCACCTCCTCCTCCTCACCGGAGCCCCCCTTTGTCTGCAACCAGCCCCTGCCCCAGCCCCTGCCTCGCCCCATGGCAATGGCATTCCTGCCCTGCCCCCTCCCTTGCCTCGCCTCACCGTGCAGGATGAGCCTTCTGCCCACTGCCCCACCCACCAGAGAACCCCTGGGTCTCCCCCAACCCTGCCCGGCACCCACAGGCATCCCTCCCCAGGAGCGACATAGAGGTGGCCACGC